CCAAGAATCGATTGTCCTCCGGGTGGATTCACTCTCTGCAGCCAGGTGTGTGTTTGGGCTTTGTTGACACCTGTAGTTAAGGTATTTAATCATGGTGTGTGGAGGTACGTGTAGAGGTGTAGGGGTCAGTGTATCAGTAGTGCGAGGGTCAGTTTGACATTGTGTGTGTGTGTGTGTGTGTGTGTGTGTGTTTACTTTCACGTGTATATATGGATTTGGATAGATATATATTTATTCAGCAAAATTATTATGTATGTTCATAATTGGTTCTGCGTGTATATAGAAAATGTAGATATACAGTTAAGCATGTACTATATACTGTAGACACTGCAGGTATACAGTTCAGCATGTATAAGAAAACGCAGGTATACAGTTCAGTATGTATATAGATAATGTATTTATACCGTTCAGCATGTATATAAACAATGCAGGGATACAGTTCAGCATGTATATAGATAATGCAGGTATACAGTTTTCAATGTACACCCACTAAAAAAATTATTCGGCATCCTAACGGCATGATACAATATGACACGGATGCTGAATAAGTTTTTCGTGGGTGTACCTAGACAGTGCTTATATTTCCCGGTGGTATAGCTTGATTATTGAAATATGTGGTGTTTACGTATACTTCTATATAGCGTTAACGAAAAACAGTCATCGCCCAGATTATAAATGGTTATATTTAATAAAACCAAGAGGGATTTTTTTTTGGTGGGGGGGGGATTGACACAGTATATCCGCTTTACCCATAGATTTCATTTTATGACTTTGTGTGTGACTTGTATAGACGCATACGACCACAGTATATACCTACCATTTACCTTTATACTTCCCAGGACGGATAAAACAAAGGTATGCACAACACAGGTTCCTATTGCTAGTAAGAACGACGTCACATCCCCAAGCTCAGTATTGATCATCTGAATATTACATTGTAACCTAAAGTTCAATCCCGTAACAGGAGGAATGTGGGTCATTTTGTGTGGGTGTGTGTGTGTGTGTGTGTGTGTGTGTGGGGGGTGTGTATGTGAACTAAGATTAGCCTCTTGTTGCTACCAAGGTGATGTAAACTTAATACGTTTAACCTAGGTGTAAACTGTAATTAACTTAGTGTATCATGTTGTAACCTTACTGTGGTCAACTTGGTGTAGTAAATCTAATTATACGTTTACTTGGCGTATGATGCAGTTAACTTAGTGTAAGTTAACCTCGCGTAGTTAACTTAATGTTGTAATCTCAATGTACTGGATACTTTAGTGTAGTTAACAAGTGTAATTAACTAAATATAATTTACCTTGTGTAGCTAAGTTGGTGTACTTAACCGAAATAATTAACCTGTCGTATTTAACTTAGCGTATTAAATCCGCAAAAGTCAACCTAGCACAGTGAACCATTGTTAACATAGCATAACTACTGAAGCATAGTTAATTAATCTTAGTTAACCAATTAGAGTAAAGTGCTGTGGTGTAACTCAGAGCTGCGTATACAGTACAGGTTACAGCAATACTTAGGTGGTGACAGTAATTCAGCGGCATCTGATCCTGTAATCTATAGATGATATGTAAGAGATATTCTGTATTTATGTTACGTCACCAACTCAATCTCTCTCTCCGTTACTAACTGACTAACGGTGCAGAATTTGTTTACATTGGGGCAGTGTTGTGGCGGTGATTTTTTTTTTTTTTTAATATTTAGAGATGAGTTGTATGAACCTCTTGAGTACCATGACTTAAACCTTTGAGTACGATGACTACCCATGACTACGATGTCTACCCATGTGTACAATGACTTAAACCTTTGAGTACGATAACTTAACCCATTAAATACTATGATTTATCCCATGAGTACGATGATTTAACCCAGTGAGTAACATGATTTAACCCATTGAGTAAGATAATGAACCATTTAAGTGCGATGAGTTACCCAATGGAGTATGATGACTTAACCCTTGAGTACGATGACTTAACCTATTGAATAAGATGATTTAACCATTTGAGTACGATAATAACACTTTGCGTATGTTGACTTTCTTCCCTAAGTACAATATAATCATACTCAAGGAACAGGTCATTGTACTCTAACGATCACATTATCATTCTCAAAGGGTCACATTATCATACTCAAGGGATCACATTATCATACTCAAGGGGTCACATTATCATACTCAAGGGGGTCACATTATTATACTCAAAGGGTCACATTATCATACTCAAAGGGTCACATTATCATACTCAAGGGGGGTCACATTATTATACTCAAAGGGTCACATTATCATACTCAAGGGGTCACATTATCATACTCAAGGGGGTCACATTATCATACTCAAGGGTCACATTATCATACTCAAGGGGTCACATTATCATACTCAATCATTATCTCAAGGGGGATCACATACTCAAGGGGGTCACATTATTATACTCAAAGGGTCACATTATCATACTCAAAGGGTCACATTATCATACTCAAGGGGGGTCACATTATTATACTCAAAGGGTCACATTATCATACTCAAGGGGTCACATTATCATACTCAAGGGGGTCACATTATCATACTCAAGGGTCACATTATCATACTCAAGGGGTCAATACACCTTAATTAAAAAAAATAATAGTACTCAGAGGGTAAAAATTTCACCCTTGTCTACCTTTTCAACATAAGAAAAACATGGCATTTAGGTGGTGGTGGTGGTGGTGGTGGTTGTTAAGTGTGGAGGTGGTGTTATCATGTGGTGGTGGTAATATGTGGTGAAGGTGGTTATGGTGGAGGTGGTTATGGTGGTGGTGAGTGTGGTGGTGGTGGGTGGCAGTGATTGTTTTGGTGGTAGTTGGTGGTGGTGTTAAATGTGGTGGTGGTAGTGGTGTTAATGATAGTGATGGTGGTGGTAATGACAACAGCTCCTTGTGGCAGTAGAAACACACTAAACTAAAAATGGGTTGGTGGCGAAGCCCTGCTTATTTTACCTAATTTTAAAGCAACCTAACCTAACCAAACCAAACCAAACCAAACCAAACCAAACCAAACCTAACCTAACCCTATCTTATCCTAACCAAACCTAACCTAATCGCAAGCTGGGGTGCCTAATCTTCAGGTTGTCCAAAATAAACTCCACGAAATACCGAATTGATTCTCTCAAGCTGTCAATACTTACTGATTATTGAACGATCCATGACCTGCCAACCTAACAGAGAGTTTCCGAGTTAATGATCTGCCTCAACTCATAATTCAGAAAGTGACAGAAAAATTTCACGTCGTTGTCGAACTTCACAAAAGATTTTATGACTATTAAATTCAGGGAAGAATTATAATTAGAGTTCACGTTAAGTAACTTTTAAGTAAGAAGCGGGAGCCATAACAACACTTACAGTACATGGTTCACATAACGTGTATAACCAGAGGTGTGTAGAGGTCATTATACACCTCAACTACAGTACAGGAAGTTGTTATAGACTCAATATAGAATAAACTGGATATTTGGTGACTGAAATTTGTCAAAGAAAAAACAAACACAGGATGATGAGCCGGGTGTTTGTGGCTTGTGGTGTGTGTGGAGTGTGGTGTGTGGTGTGTGGAGTGTGGAGAGTTGTGTGTGGTGTATGGTGTGTGCTGTATGGTGTGTGGAGTGTGGTAGGTGGTGTGTGGTAGGTGGGGTGTGGTGTGTAGTGGATGGAATGTGGTGTGTGGTGTGTGGAATGTGGTGTGTGGTGTATGGTGTGTGCTGTATGGTGTGTGGTGTATGGTGTTTGGAGTGTGGTGTATGGTGTGTGGAGTGTGGTGTATGCTGTATGGTGTGTGGTGTATGCTGTATGGTGTGTGGTGTGTGGAGAGTTGTGTGTGGTAGGTGGGGTGTGGTGTATGGAATGTGGTGTGTGGTAGGTGTGGTGTGGTGTGTGGAGTGTGGTGGATGGAGTGTGGTGTGTGGTGTGTGGAATGTGGTGTGTGGTAGGTGTGGTGTGGTGTGTGGAGTGTGGTGGATGGAGTGTGGTGTGTGGTGTGTGGAATGTGGTGTGTGGTAGGTGGAGTGTGGAGTATGGAATGTGGTGTGTGTTGTGTTGTGTGTGATATCGATCATGACACCAATTCCTTCCTAAAAAAATTGAGACTCTTCGTATGATATTGTCGGGTTTCGAGTCAGTGTTCTCCAGTTACTGAACGAACCCACGGACAGGACCAAGAATTACCCACGGACATACAGCAGTTAGGAAGTAGGTAACATAAGGTATTTCCCCACAGTTGAAAAAAGAGAGCCAAATCTTACGTTAAAAGATGTTAGTTCAAGCTAGAATACGTTAGGTTACGTTTGTTTGGTACACTGGTCCGTGCTAACTACTGTATACGTAACCTCATATTATGTGGCAGAGGTGAACCAGAAATTCCGTCAAGTTTATTCAGTTGTGGCCACGTGTGGTCGAGGGCGACGTATCTCACATGTGGTGAATCAAAAATTTTCCTCGTGTTGTGAAATCATCCCAAATGCAATAGTTACACTGCACCTCTCCCTGTCTCAGAATGCACTTTTACTTTGCGTCACTTTAGCTCCGTGAATTGCAATCATGGCTGATTTACTTGACTTACTGACTGACTGACCGACTCACAGACTGACTTACTGACTGGCTGACCGACTGTCCAAATGACTGACCAACCTACTAACTAACTAGCCAGCGATGACACAGTTTATGAAGAATCTTGCCGGTTGTAGACTGTATAATTTAGCCTTTAAAGGCTCTAACCTATCTTAACCTAACCTAACCAATAGAACTGGGACCCATTAGTATTGGGGCTAATTGGGACTGGGCCCCATCAGAACTGGGACCCATTAGGTTGGGACTAATTGGGACTAGGACCCATTGGCAACTGTGCACCGATTCTTATAGTTAGGATAATGCCTATCTGGGACAGGGGTCCATTAGACTAGTCTCCTTGTGTGTCACTTGTTTTACTACGGGCGTGCTAGACTGTGACTCCCTGCGTGAAAATTAACTTTTCTTCTGCCTTCCAGACTTGAGCCGAAGACATTAGCAGCAGCCATGGCGAGAGAGGACCTGAAGGAGACGCACCAGGAAACACCCAGCCACCAGGTCAACGGAGGTCACCACGAGGGCACAGAACTGACCCTGTTTATGGACGATAAAGTGTCTGTCAACGTCGTAACGAAATCGAAGGAGAAAGAACCTTTAATGAAGACATCCTCACCAACCCGCAGGACTACCGAGATGACCAGGACGAAGGAGGAACGACCTACATTAGAGTCATCCTCACCAGCCCAGAAGAGACTCCACACCAAGAAAGACTCTCACATTAGGTCATCTTCAGTGGGTAATCTTGGTGACTGGTAGTTATCATAGTTAACCATTGAACATCCTATAATTTAATTCACGTTAATCCAGTCATCAGATTAGACCGTCACGACAAAGACTTATAATATCATAAAAGCTTCAACAGGACACCGCTAAAACCCTATCCAAGTCTAATCTAAATATAATCAGGTCATAGTTAAGTCTCACCACACGCACACTTCCCAGCTAAGGAGGATTCGAATAATGTTTACTGACCATTACATTGTCTTCGTCGTGTGTGTGTGGGAGAAAGACGCTCTGGCTGCCATGTATACACCACGCTAAGTCTATCACCTCCTCCTCTAACAAGTGGCTTTTTTATACTCTCGGGTCTTTTTTTTTTTTATTATTTATTGGGCACTCCCCTACGTCCTTGTGTAAGGTGAAGCGCAGAAACGTTTACAGCGCCCAACAGGGAAGCATGCTATGTTCATGCTTGCCTTTATGTCTCATGAGTTAAGGGCGTAGAAGCCTGAAGAGTCAATGGTTTATGTCATCAAGTTATTGGAAGCTCCAACAACTTCCTGAATACGAATTCGCAACTTTCGACATACACCAGGTACCTACTTTACTGTTAGGTGAACAGGGACTAATGGGGGCTAGGAAGTATGTCCAAACAACTTCCACCGGCCCGGGAATCGAACCCGTGACATCTTGCTTGCGAGGCAAGAGCGATACCGCTTCTATCACCGACCCCCCACCTCTCGGGTCTTGGCAGATTTTACAGATTTTTTTTACAGATTGTCCCGGGAGGGCTAGTTTATTGGGCACCCCCTTACATCCTGTGCAAGGTGAAGCGCAGAAGCGTTTACAGTGCCCAGCTGGGAAGCATGCAGAGTTCATGCTTGCCTTTATGACTCATGCATTAAGGGCGTGGAAGTTGGCCTCCCGGGTTTTCAGACTCCACTTAACCTCGACCCAACCGTCCATTTATCTGCCACCTGAGGATGAAGACAGGAAGAGACCTGTTGAGCTCTTCATTCATACATTTCTATGGTTTTCTTTCCTTCATTTCTATCATTTTATTTTTTTTATTTCTATAATTTTTGTTCTTTTATTTTTATTTTTTTTATTCTTTCACTATATATAATTTTCATTCATTCATTTCTATCATTTCATTTTCATCAATTTCATTCTTTCATTTCTATCATTTTAGTTCTTTCATTTCTATAATTTTCTTTCCTTTATTCAATAAATTTCATGCATTCATTTCTATCATTTTATACTCGTAAATCAGATATTTCCTTTACAACATCGCTATGGCTATTTTGGCAGTTAAATTATTACCAATACAGTCTCTTCTTTATTAAAATTCATCAAGTTATGATCTAAAGATTAGGCACCCCAGCTTATTTGACCTTATGATTAAACACAAAACCCAACACTAGCTTACCCTACTCTACCCCAACCCTCCAGGTAGTGTTTGGGTATTTTAATCGGATGAAATAAACTGGGGTGTCTAATTTTCACATGAACTAGTTTATCTTCTTACTCTTTCTGATAACGTTTTCAGTGTTCAAACATCTCTCTCTCTCTCTCTCTCTCTCTCTCTCTCTCTCTCTCTCTCTCTCTCTCTCACATCTTGATGCGACACCACAATGGTATGAGCGGCAGTGTGTCCTATACATAATGGTACTCAGTCGGTGTAAAATAAGAACGTGTACTCGCGGTAACTCTCGTTCCCATTTTCTTGGCTGCCTTCCTTTCTCGTGCCTGTGCCAATCTATAGCCGGCGGGGTCGGTATCCACTGCCGGATGAAGGAGCTTTTCAACATAAGACGACTCCAGGCATGGACAAGGGTGTCAGCCACTTCCATCACTAAACTTAAGTATGCAGACGACCTCACCCTCGTCCCTAACACTGAACGCGACCTACAGGAGGTCCTGAACACCTACAGTATGCAGACCCATACACACACTTCGGCCGGGAGGTAAACGTACGTACGTCGGACTTAGATTCTTTTTTCAGTTGTTAACGATAACGACGTCAACAACAGTGAGGACCACCAGAATAACTACGGCGTCGTGGGGTGAGGCACAACCTCTCCAACTCTTGATGAAGACGAACTTATAATGTAGCACATAGTGAGGTGGAAGACGGAGATGGCAGCAGGGCAGTGATGTCATGGGGGCAACCATCCACCGGAAACGTCCCACCATGTTGTTAACCTCTACATCCTCCCCCGCACACTCACACACACATGCAGATGGGCGCATGCACACAAACTCATACAAAGCAAGAAACACATATAATCACTCACATATACACTAGGAAGTTGAGGATGGTGTTGGAACAAGTGTCTGATGTGAACAGGATGTGTGAAAATGAGGGATAAGGTAATCCCCTCAGTATGGGGGGTAGGTGTGGCACCCATAGGGGAGGGTGTAAGAGGGAAGGAGTGGTACAGGACGTGGCACTCACTTGGTACAGTGCCAGGGAAGAACACTCATGGGGCCAACATGTTAATTTCCCTCAGTGCGAGTGTGGACGGTGGGTGGATATCAGGTCCCTTGGTCAGCCTCTTGTGGCATTCTACACGGGGAAAACATCGTCGTCAATGGTACACAGGTTACAGTCACCGTCAAACTCGAGTTTATCAATCGAAAAATCCCGCACAAGTTTTCCAGTTTATACAATTAAGTGTTTCTTACGAAGCAAGACTAATTCACAGTAAATAACGAGTATAGCAGCCAAAAACATATTTCACATACAATTCTCAGTTTGCAAATTGTCTAGTTAAGTACAAGGCAAGGTGGATTCACTGTGTAAAAACGAGTGTCAACAGAAAAACAAAAAGAACCTCGACTCTCACATGGTGTCGTGTACGCGATAAAGTGGATTTAACTTATAAGACTAATTTTACGTCACTTGGAAAAATTATATAATTCTCAACTAGTCCAAGAGACCCGTCCCGAGCCTTGTTGTCACCATCTAACTCACCCACCTCTCTTTTGTACCAAGTAGCGTTCCTGGCTTAGTACATTCTCAACCACTCATGGTGTACACACAGCCAAAATATTATCGCATACAGTATATCTAGAATTGGAAAAAACACGTTATCATATGAGAACGCTAACGAGATTACGAGCTCTTTAGATGAACCTGTTGTTGTTTTCATAATACCGAAGTGAAGAAAAATACCAGTTGTGTTGGGACTCTTCAGATGCTAACAGAAGGGAACATGGTAGCCTAGCATCAAATACACTTGTGGTTGTAGTTTATATTTCATTATGATAAGTTATATATTTAGCTTTATTTTTTGAGTGATTATCATCTTATTCTTTAAATTAATTGTGTTGGTCAAAATAATAATATGTATTTACAATTCGTTTTGCTGAAGGTGGAAACTTTCTTCTCGAACTAAACCTTATTGCGGACATTTAGTTGCCACAGTCAGAGAAACGCCAGAACAACCCCTTGTTGGGTCCATAGTTAGGATTTTTTTACTCTCTCAAAGATGCATTTACTAACATTAACTCATTTATAGATACAACATCTAAAATAAAAGTGTCATTGTAACATAATGAATCATGTGTCTCCTGAAATACTGTGCATTGGTCGCGAGTAGTGGAGACAAAGCCGTTGTGCACAATATTACAGTTGAGTTTAAATTCTACCTAGGACCGTTCTGGAAGGTGATGTGGCTGATGAACCAGTCTAACAGTCATAGGATTTTCACTCATACAACTATTTTCTCTGTGATAGTAAGCGGTTCACTGTAGTTTAAATCCACAATTTAGTACACAATTTGTCTCGCCTCTCGTAATGTTGGGGCAGATCGTGTTGAGTTGTCAGTTATGTGTATAAGCTAGGTTGAAAATTTAGTGTCATTAGTATAATTATATGTTAACTTCCAGTAATATAATACGAATATACGATATATGTTTCTCTCTGATCAATATATTAATAATGTCAACCTCATTTATGATACTATCTAACCTAACCTAACCTAGTCTAGTCTAACCTAACCAAACATAATCTAACCTGGTCTATCCTAATCTAACCTCAGGTAACAATCTAACGTAACTTATCCAAGTAAAGTTAACCTAACCCGAGATTACATGAGCTAATATAACTTAGCATAGTGTAATTAATCTAATCTGACCTAACATAAGCTAACTTAACATAGCCAGCTTAACCTAACCTGGCGGAACTTGACATAACATACTCTTATCTAAGCTAATACTACGTAACCAGCAATACTCAAACTTATTCTAACTTAAGCTAATCTAACCTAAGCAAACTAATATAACAAAATCTAACCTAATCTAACTTAATCTAACCTAAGTTAATCTAATCTTAGCTACGTAAATTTAACCTACACCACCTTAATCTAACCAAAGTTAATCTAACCTTAGCTACGTTAATCTAACTTTAACTTATTTAACCTAAACTAATTTATCTAACCTAAACTAACTTAATCCAACCTATTTACCTTTAACTAAATTTAACCCAACATAAGCTAACTTAAACTTTACCTCAGTGTTCCTCCCCAGGGTGACCTAGACAGCGGCAGTGGTGAAGATGAAGGCGGACGAGTCAAGAGTTCCTCATCTCACAAGATAACGGCGGGATGTTACTGTGGCTCCAATGTCGGCCCCTTCGTCAGGCAGGTGAGGGTCGCCTTTTGGTTATACAAGTGAGAGTCGCCTTTTGGTTATACAAGTGAGAGTCGCCCTTTGGTTAATAATAATAATAATGGATGCCCCTCGAAATCGAGGATGGCCGGCCCTAGGGCCACCTAGGCGTGAATTTGTTCAGGTGTAAAAGCTGTCGCCAACACAACAACCACACCCTGAGTTAACGAGCTACATGACCCAGTGTCAAGGAACAGTCCGAGAAGACCGGACAACTCACCAACTGCACTGGAAATCCATTACCCCGGAATACGATCCGCAAATCGATTAACATCCAGGTCCCCAGCTGCTGCTGGGTAAACAGAGGCAAATGGCGTAAAGAAAATTGTCCATAGTTTCACCCTGTCCGGGGATCGAACCCATTGGTTACACAGGTGAGAGTCGCCCTTTTGTCGTCCCCTTTGTCGGACAGGTAAACCATAGTCATCACCCAGTACTGAGTTAGCCAAGCTCATATTTGATCTGCGTTGTAAGTTTATGAGATCCAGTTTTGCTCCGTGGATTACTTTGTTAGTGAAGAGAAGTTTCATCTGACCCAGTGATCTGCTTCTTAGGTGGGTGCTGTCAATTGTGTCTCATCCCCATGATCTATATTAGTAAGTGGGCAATGACCTCTGACCCCTTGACATGTAGTGTGAATGGTTACATACACACTGTAGTTTGACCCCGCGACATGTAGTATAAATGAGTACATACTGTGATCTAACTTCAACTTTCTGTCTTCGTTCCAACGGTGCAGTCCCCGCGACTTAACTCCTTGTTTATGTAATGACTTGTAGTCCCTGTAACCTAGCTTCCTTCTTTCTGTAGTCCATGTAACATCCTTTCGTCTTAGTGTTCAAAGATCTGTAACTAAGGTGTTGTGGTTTCAGCTGACGATGACGGTAGTGAGCTGCCTGGCAGCCCTCAATCTCGGCTTGATCTACGCCTATCCCGCGGTCGCCCTGGCCCGGTGGGAGGAGGCAGGAGTCAACCATACCACTACGGAGATCACCTGGTTCGGTAAGAGAGAGAGAGAGAGAGAGAGAGAGAGAGAGAGAGACAGAGAGAGAAGAGTTCATGTGTGTGTGTGTGTGTGTGTGTGTGTGAAGCTGTGGTTGAGAGAGGGAGTGAGAGAGAGTATATGCATGTGAGTGAGCGGAATTGTGGCTGAGAGAGAGAGGGAGAGATCGTGCATGTATTTACGTGTCTGTACACCATGTAATATTTAGCGAATTTGCAACATACCAAACGAGATGCGAGACAAAAAACTTTGTGTGTGTGTGTGTGTATAAAATCAATGACACTCAACAAGTAACTGTGGCACTGTTGCAGCCTCGACGCCGATGGTGGTGTCGGTGGTGGTGAGTGTGGTGTCCGGGGTGGTGATGGAGAGCCTTGGGGTGCGATGCGGCCTTCTCCTCTGCCTCCCTTTCCTCACTCTCTCCTGGATCATGATCGCCATCACTCACGAATTCTGGGTCCTCCTCCTCGCCCGTGTCATCCAAGGCTTCGTAGGTAAGGCTCCCACGAGGTGCGTAAACGAGGCTGCCAGATGAGTCCATATGTAGGTAAAACTCCAAAGACTTAAATCCTAGCTTTGGTTAGGCCTTCAGGAGGTAAAGCTCTTTGTAAATTAGATCTTAATGATGTAATTTTTAACTCAAGTAAGGCACCACGAATTTCGTCCTACCAGATGCGGCAGGAAGGAAGTGAGGCTTGAAGACGCTGCAGAGTTTTAGAGGTATGACTTCTCGGTCAGTTATCAAGACAACGTACAAGGCCTGTGCCGTGCTACCAAATGGTTTGTTATTCCTTATAAAGGCCATCATGAGGCAACATTACCTTAAAATAATAGTGTACATCTTAAAATATCAAAATAAACATTTATAGAATTCTATATTTGGAGAAAGTTATTCGAAACTCCAAGATAAGGCCCACGAAAAATGGAGCACAGTCACAGGCACATTGGGTAAGGACTTAAACTTAAGTTTCTGCTTGTATAGGTGAAAAAAGAAATCCTCATGTCTAATAACATCAGAATTAAGTAACAATGATTTAGTTGACACAGTGCATGTCTCAGTAACCGTTGAGTAAGTGTGTTTGTGTGTGCATTGCAGCGTCGATGTTCATGGTGGCTATCACAGTGTATCCAGTGGAGGTGAGCGCGGTGCGGTGGCGAGGCATCATGGTTGGTGTGTCTGAGGCCATGGTCATGCTGGGAGCCTTCTTCACCTACCTGGCAGGTCTCGTCCTCTTCCCCTCCACCCTCGCCTACACCTTCGTCGGTGTCACCGTCCCGCAAGTCTTCTGTTTCTACTTCATGAGGGAGTCTCCCCTCTGGTTGACACGACAGGACCGCGATGATGATGCGGCGGTATCCTTAGCCTGCCTGAGGGGCCCCGGCGTCGACATCACCTGGGAACTGGAGCAGATCAAAGCCAACGTGTATAGTGAGAGAATACAGAAACCAAGTGCTTCTGAACAACTCCTACTGCTTAGGAAACCCGTGTATTTGAAGCCAATCCTCTTGTGTGTACTTGTGCTGCTCTTCAAAGAACTAACTGGACAGTTTGCTGCAATGGCTTACGCAGTCAAGATATTCCAAATGGCCGGCTCGACCTTAAACCCGTACTGGTGTGCTGTAGTAATGGGCGCTGTCAGGTTCCTGCCATGCTTCGCATCGTGGGCCCTCATCGAGAGAGTGCCTCGTCGCGTCCTGCTCTGCTCCTGCATGACCATAGCATCCTTCTCCTTGGCAACACTCGGAGCCTTCCTCTGGTTCTGGTCCTGGTCTGATGAAGGTCTCCCTGCCTCGCTAGGCTGGATACCTCTTACCTGTTTATCAGTGTTCACCCTATCGTTTGGGTCTGGCATAGGTCCTACTTCCTGGACCCTGGTGGCTGAACTCATACCCTCGCAGGTCCGTAACGTCGGCGCTGGGATTATCAACTCCTCCTTCAGCTTGTTCCTCTTCCTAGTGGGGCTGACTTTTCCATTTGCTGTAGAATACCTAGGGGTGGGGGCGGTGTACATAGTGTACTCGGTGTGTTCCCTCGTCGGCGTCATCTTCGTGGTGACATGTTTACCAGAGACCAAAGGTAGCACTTTTGACGAGATCCAAATCGCCCTTGACAACAAATGGAACTCAAATGTGGTGTAATCTTACCAGTGATCATAGACATACATTTTTTAGTAGAGTTTATCACCTTACGACCGACCACACTCTATGAAACTACGGGTCAAAGCAATAAAGTGAAGGAAAATCTAGTTCCGGTGTAATGAGATTTACGTAAATGAATTATCAGACACGAATCTTACAGAATAACTCATAATAATCTTTTTGCAGTAATTATTCATAGCGAAAGCACAGCAGTGTACACGCGGTAATTTACACTATTACAGTATGCCTCTTTAAACGGTGTTATACTGTATTTAGATTAAGATTCATTCAAATTACAGAAAGAGTCATGTGTACACTGGTGGTCGGGACTGTATACATCCTCACCACAAATCCTAAATCCTAAAACTATCATTTTCGGACTTAGTATTGAGGTACTGCAGCCTCTCCTCCTCCTCCACCTTCGTCAGTACAATGGCGGATCTCCCTGTGTCTGTATCGCTCAAAAGACCGATCCTCCCTTGGTTCCTCACTACCAGGGAGTGAATCATCGTGCCTTGCCTGATGCTGAACCAACTCACTCTTTTTTTTTATCACCACTACCTAGATACTGTTCCCTGCCTCACCTCTTCCTTCCAGGCAGTGGCCACATTCGAAACAGAACAGCACTACCTTTATACCCTGACCTTCCCTCTCCTTGTTGCTGGTATAAGTCAATCTCCAACTGGTGACACCAAACCTCATTTGTGACACCAAACCTCATTTGTGACACCAAACTTCATCTGTGACACCAAGCCTCATTTGTGACACCAAACTTCATCTGTGACACCAAGCCTCATTTGTGACACCAAACTTCATCTGTGACACCAAGCCTCATTTGTGACACCAAACCTTATTTGAGACACCAAACCTCATTTGTGACACCAAACCTCAGTGGTGTTAAAACAACAATGATTAGCACAACTAGCGATTTATATTATCTTAATTTTCCTCTTAACCTCAAGACCTGATCGGAAGGGTCACGACCTACGAAGTAAGGAGAGCTCTCATAGGTATACTGTAGGTGTACATAAATATAATTTGTACCATAATAACGTAGAGCTAAGTGTGTGTTTGTGTGTCCGTGAGTATGTCGTTATATTGCGATGTGTGTGTGTGTGTGTGTGTGTTTGTCTTGGTGAATATTTTTAAACATATCGTGTGTGTATAGAAGTCAGAATTGTTGATCTTTTTGCTGACATTATTACTATTATAGGAAAGTTATAGTTTTGGATAATTTCCACACTAGAAGGCCATGGAAAAATCCCACGAAAGAATCTTTGCCAATTGGATAGACTTGAGACGGTTAATGAAATCTATTAACATAAAACTTTTTTAATCTTTGGTGTAATAATACCGTATATAATTTGAGTGGTGTATCGTCCACCTATAAATTAATTTCTCTGCGAAAGTGGGTCCCAAATGCCGCTTTGGTACAACAGACTGAATACTAAGCCTTGGTACTCGTACCTCCGCCGCACCACCCTATAGTATTTCTCTACTCGTTTCACTAAAAATACAAAAATCCTAAAGGAAACAGTATGCTCAGTTTCGTAATTCAAAACTTTATTCACACACGTCAACATCTTACTTAACTATCACAGTTTCTGCCTGATCCCTCTTTATACTGTACAAGGCTTTTGCTCATCATGTTTATATCACGTGATATGCTTCAGCCAATGAGGAGTCAGAGTGTTCGCGCCGGAAATGCCCTTTGTTTATATCACTTGATATGCAGCCCATCAGCAGTAAGAGTGACGCTTTGGCAAATGAAACGAACTACATAGAACCAATACAACATTAAAACCCTTGATAGTAGGGAATAAGGGCGTGTGATTTTGGTGAAAACGAGTTTATAAGTAGATGAAAACTTTTAGGAAACTAATCTCTTGGTGCTAGATTCTTGTGGCATAACAAGAAAGTACAATTTTTTTTTTTTTATTGGGCACCCCCCTACATCCTTGTGTCAGGTGAAGCGCAGTAGCCTTTACAGCGCCCAACAGGGAAGCATGCTTAGTTCATGCTTGCCTTATGTCTCATGAGTTAATGACGTAGAAGCCTGAAGAGTCAATGGCTTATGTCTAAGCAAGTTATTGGAAGTTCCAACAACTTGTCCCTGAATACGAATTCGCAACTTTCGACTTACAGCAGGTACCTACTGTGCTGCTAGGTGAACAGGGACGAAGGGGACTAGGAAGAGTGTCCAAACAACTTCTGCTGGCCCGGGAATCGAACCCGTGACATCTTGCTTGCGAGGCAAGAACGGTACCGCTCTACCACCAGCTCCCCAGAAATAATAATCACAAACAAAAGTTATTTTACGTAACTGAGACTCCGAACTCGTGTAGGGAGTCTCCGTCTCTCTGAATAATTTATCTTATTTAACCACATGTAGATGACGCAGTCGTGCCATTGGCTTTGGTGCAGATTCAAAAGAGAGCATACAGGAATTTAAGCTCGTGATTATTCATTACTGGGAATACTGAGAAATTGAACTTTGGAAGAATACACTCTTTATAGAGCCCCTTTGACTGTAGATTATACTAAGATAGTGTGGGGCAATATCTTAGACCCAGAAAGAGGAGTTTAGAAGAAGATGAAGAAGACATTCGGTAATGTAATCTGTTATCATGAAATATTTGTGAACTAACGTACATGCTGGGAAACTGTACAACGCACAGAACTGTACATAACTAAAAACAAAGAAGATATCATTTCATAACGTCCATACACATTACAGCTTAGACCAACTTAGGTTAGTGGATTATCTTAAGTTCGGTTCAATGTGGAAGAGACCAGTGTTGAGATATCTATCTACGTCTTTCCCTATACGCATCACTGTACCAGTTATCTAAGGTATATTTGTATACATATCAAACACGCTTACATTTTCTATTTTTGTATACATAGCTAAGCTTAATATATACATTTATACGCTGTCATACAAGTGCATGTGGCGTAGACAGCTAGTTCACTATTACATTATCCCCCTATCATTTTGAGTACACTCTTAAGAGTTTTATTTTCATATTAAAAATTGTAAAATTTCCTGTTCTTCATGCTCTCCAAAACAGACCTTAAAAGTCTTGTGTAGGGAAATTTATTAACCTCTGATGGGTGAGTTGTCTATTTTTCCATATTAATGTGTGAGTAACTAGTGATGTCGGATATAGACCAGTGTTCAGAAGAGTTCAGAAGGCTTTGGAAGAGCTCAAAAGGGTTCAAAAGTGTTCAATAGTATTCAAAATGGTTCAGAAGTGTTTAAGTTCAGAAGTGTTGAGGACTGTTCAAACGCTTTCACAGGTGTTCAGAACTATTCAAAGAGGTTCAAAAGTGTTCAGAAGTGTTGAAATTAAATCAGAGGCGTTATATAGAGTAGAGAAATATTAAAAACAAATTCAGAGGAGTTCAAAATTTAATTGAGAAGTGCTATAATGAGTTCAGAAATGATCCAAGGAGCTCAGTAATGTTCAGAAGAGATTGGAAATATCAAGGAGTTCAAAAGTGTTCGGACGAGAGAATGGTGAACAAAAGAAGTGCTAGAACTCTTAAACTCAGTAAATGAACTGTAATGCAAATCAGTTAGGCTCCCATGTGATGAACTGATGAACTACAAGGCTCAGTAAGGCTCCTGTGTGATGAACTACAAGGCTCCATAAGGCTCCTCTGTGATAAACTGATGTACAATCTCAGTCAGTAGTCAAGTTCCATATTTTAGACTAGAGTGATTACTGACTGGTGAGATAAGACAGCTAATCTTGACAGTCACTGAATAGACTGGTGTTGGTGTGTTTAGACTGACGGGCATGTTATGGGGAGTATCGAGTCTCAAGTTATAGTGAAGACTCTCTCTGCTCAGGAACAAGTATGACTAAGAACTGACCCACTGGCGGCCCCATCTACTTCATAACTAAGCGTTCAATAAAATCTCTCCTGTGAGCATATTCTGTTTACCCAGGAGCGTGACAGAGACAAACCAATAAAGTAACGACGTCTTTTAACACTGGGGCCTTCATACCGGCTGTAGTGTTGACTGTATAAACAAATACCATCAACACGCAGTTTTGTATCGTAAACAAGTATGATGTGGTGCAACTATAGGGGTTAAAAGGTGTTGTAATGGATATTTGTACTCCAGCAACCAGTCCACCCGTTTGAGTTGTCACGGTTGCGAGAGAGAGATGAAGAGGACGGGATTCATCAGTAAGTCAGTTGGTCTTAAGTTGGGTTTACACTTACTGATCTAAAAAGTTATTTTCAGTCAGTGTCTCAGTCGGTCAGGCTTGGCATATATAGAGCTACCTGAGGCAACTAAGAAGTCTTCACTCAGATACTCCAAAAAAGACTCCAAGTTTGTATTTTCAGAGTCATACGTTCATGTTTTTATCTCATAATTTGAATAAAAGAAGGCATTTGGTTACTACAGTGTCAATACTGTTTTAACGCTATTTTGCCCGCCATCTTTTGCGTCATCTCAAGAACCTTTGAGAACACAGTGTCCAAATCATTAGTCTCAAAGGTTCATTACAGTAACTCTCCCTTGATCAGTTGAGATGGGGTACAATGATGGCCGTTATAATGACGTCGAAATTAAACTGGAGCTCAAATGTAACTACTGTAAATGCGTTCAGTAACTTCTTATATAGTTGTTGAAAAATGTAACGAGTGGGTCTGAGAATGTAGCCTAGTAAAAATGTAATGTAACTCTCACTCACGTCTGTAGTGAAAGTGGGGTCTGAATTAAAAAAAAAATTCCTACAATGAATATTACTTAAACTATAAGAATGTACCAACTAGCTTACTAAAGTTACAAAACAAACATTATATTACTTTAACTAAATTTAACAAAATTTAGGTACAGATCTTAATTTCATTTCTAAGTGACGTTTAGTGAATATGTTTAGTTACAATTACAGTATGATTTTTTTTTTTTAATGCTATATATGTGTTTTAACTTCATACATTAGGAGCGTTCTTATATCTTCAGTAATCAGCAATATTTATCGTACGAACATTTGTGAATCAGTGTTATTTGGTAATGAAGTTGAATAAGGTTGGTGAAAAATGCTGTAGTTGAATTTAAATTTTGCCATTTATATTTGTATGAGTATAAATAAACTCTTGAGAACTAATTTTTATTTTTAAATTTGTATGATTATAAAGAGATATGTTTAAACAGCTGGAAATAAATTGTACATTAATTTTAGTTTGGTGCATTTGTGAACCGTGAACCCGAGTTTAACCTACAAGTCATAGCCAAAATAGTAGATTAAAGGGACCATCTCAAGATTAGACACCCCCTTACGTTAACCTAACCTAATTTGACTTAATCTATTCAACCTAACCTAACCTAACCCCCAGCAGTGTTGCGTACTAGGGTGTTTAATCTTCAGGTCAAACATGCTGTAGAACTAATCTTCAGATGATCCGACTACTGTACTTATTGCTGAAGGACTGAAACACCAACAAAGGCAAATGATCTTTATCAGAGCGTTGAGGCAGCAGATGTGAGAACACTTACAAATCAGTTACCCGAAGATACCGAATAATGAAATGAATATGGATAGATTGATAGATATTCACTAAAATCTTCATACAAATTCACATTGATTCAGCATGGAGGATCTTTTGTATTAGTTTTAGTTAATACAAAAACATTGAGTCGAGGTGGTATGAGCATGTTAAGTGTGTGAAGAAAAACAGGCAAGAGGACAGAAGAGGTAAAGAAAGGAAGATTTCAATAGTTTTATCCTTGAATATATGGAGGGTAAACATTATCCCAGTCACTCAGACTAGAGACGCGTAGTGCTGTATTTTCAGTAGAACTGTAAGAAGCAAGGGTTGTGTTTTAGAGAGGAAGTGTGGCTATCCCAATGGTGTAACGTAGCTGGCAGGCAGATATCCAATAAAAGGTGGAAGCTGAAGAAAACCTGTCTATATATAGTGAACTGTAACCACAACACTTGTCTCCAGACGTTGATGAGGAATACGACCATCTATTTAGCTTAATATATACACTGCTCACGAGGATAACTAAAAACTGATCCACTGTACTATCAAATATCTGAACCTTTCCCAAACACTTCAAGTAATTAAACCTACTGCACCATCATCACCCCACACGCCACCTATGTTTCTGCCGCATCACAAACTTATGTGTATTGTACTGACCACGGTAGTACATGTTAGTTAACGTAAAATCAGACGATTCATATTACGCTCAATAGCCCATAAAACATGTAGCTATAACTTCTTTATTGAGTCCCCCAGTTGAGACATCCATTTTCTCACCCCTTCAGTACGCCTGAATCATCCGTTTTCTCTCATGTACCTCAGAGACTGATATTCCTTAGCATATCATTTCATGTTATGGAATATAAAATTGCAACTGAAGTCGTACATGTTAGATTAAGTAAAATATGCCTGATTACAGATGAAACATTCAAGATCCCTTGTAAGTGATGTTGAAAGCTTCAACTGTATTTACTGTTAGTAAAATTGTCAAATAAGTTAGAGTAGAGTCTGCCAGTAGAAGTGACGAATCCCTGACCTCGCCCGTAGGGACGCCCTGAGTGCCAAACTAAAATTGAAGTTAGATCATTTTGATTCCCAATCATCAGAGAATCTGATGTTTATATTGAAATTATTGTCAGTTTCATATTCTAGAATGTAATTAATATCCTGAAAAGAAAATGCCAGTCTTCTCATCTCCAAGATGTAATGGCAAACTCTCAGTAGGCCCTTGTCTGTATTTTTGATGAGTTCGTAAGAAAAACGTTGTCAGCTTGTGCATTTGACGTCCATTTCAATAGTGGCGGGCAAGCTCAAACTCTAATTTGATTGTAACAATAGATGTAAGAAATTAATCTGACTCATGACACTGATTTTCATAGCCAAATGTACAGCAACTGATTTAAATGGAATGTAGTAATGCGTGAATTGCCCGCTTGG